TTTATCAACCTAGACAAGGACTTCAGTTTTCTGAAGGTGATGGGGTCATCAAACCCCTTTCAAATTAAAAAAGGAAATCCCAAACACTGGCAAGTTAAAGGGTCTGTGTTAAGGGCTGCTTCACACACAGATCCATGGGGAGAGCTGTGTCCCTGCCACCCAGTTTCAAGCCAAACTCCAGTGCTGCTGCTAAGGGAGGCTGAACCTGCCTGAGATGTATGCAGGTACCACCCACCTGCAGCCACAGCTGTTTGGCCACCTTCCCTGAATGTTGCTCAGGGTATGGGGTGACAATGTGGGCTGTACCAAGCACCCAAGGTGGTCAAATGGAGGGCAGGAGGATGGTGTCCCCACTTTTAAGGGGATGCAGTCCCAGGAGCAAGCAGCACTGACTGACCCTGTGGCAGCCCATCCATCATGCCTTCACCTCCTCTTTCTCCCACTCTTCTCTAGTTTTTATTATTCTACTGTTATTATTATCCAACTCTGCTCATTGGACTTGAAAACTAGAGCTCAGCTAAAGGATTCCATGTAGAAAATGCTCTAAAATAATCTATTTTAGATTTTTTTACCTTCCCTATTGTAAGCAAGCACTAAAGCTTGTTCTGCAGTTTAAACCCCTGGTGTCTACATGGAGGAAATGTATTCAGTGTGCTCAGCTGGCACCCTCACACCAGCAGGAAGCCTCAGAGGTTTTTCTGGTGACAACAGCAGACACTCCAGCTCTTTGCAGTTGAATGTGTCCCTCTCCCTGGTGGGACACAGCACAGCAAGGAGCAGCTGGTCTCTGTGCTACACAGGGAGAGAAAAACCTCAGCCAGGTCCCCGTGACAGCCTGACTCCTTCCAAGAGCTCCACCCTAGGATCTGACCCTTCATCTGGCAGGACAGAGGCCAAGGCTTATCAGGGACAGCAGTGGCACTTTCCTCCCCTGGGCAGGGCACACAGCTGATGAAGCCTGCAAGCCAACACGACCAGAGAGAGCTGCAAGCCCAGCCTGAGCACAGCAGCTCAGCATCAGGGGACCCAGGAAAAGTGCAGAGAGGACAAAGGAGTGCAGAGAGGAGCTGGGATGGAATCTTGGTAAACAGGTTGCTGGAACAAGGTGGATTCCCACAAGAGACAAGGCCAGAATGAGGCCAAGTCTGTAGATCAGCAATCTGGCTTTACACACACAAGCTCAAAGCCAAGCTTAGCTACATCTGCCCCAACACAGAATACCACCCATGCCCGAGACAAAAAGGAAACCAGTCACAATGTGGAGAACCCTCCTTGCCCCTCTTCCCCATCCTCCATTCCAGAATCAATCCTCTTGATGAGCCACCAGAGATGGAAAAAATACAGCGTTGGGAGCTTGCTACAAGTGGATTCCCAGAAGCATTCCTTGTATCCGCTTGTGATCCAGGATGTTGCCCATGTGCCAAGCCCACGGCGTTTCCTCTTGGACAGAAAAAACTCCTCTTGCTTCTTGCTCAAGGAATCACTGCTGCTCCTTTTGGGCAAAGCGAGGCAGAAGAACCATCCACAAACATCCAGCTCCTACTGATGAGTTCACTCCTCCTCAAGAGGTGGCACTTACCTGCACCCACTGTTCAGACACACAGAGAAGTGAAGGTGACGTCCTGGCAAGGTTGATCCTTACCTTATGTACACTTTTGGGATTTTCCAGCCAAGCATAATACATTTCCTCCACATAGTTTGAACTAGTCCCACTGAGAAATGGCTCGGCAGCCACGGGTGCACTGTAGCACCTGAGCTGTTGGAACGTCCTGGGTGCTGCCGGTCTGTGTTGGGAAAGTGTCTTTACAGTCTGGGAGGCCGTCAACGGCCTCAGTTTTGCTGCACAAGTCCTTAAGTTAAGCATTTTTGTCCTGTTTGCCTCACACAAGTGCCTGTTGAGGAAGAACAGAAAAGTAGGTTAGGAATTGCTGCAGGAGAGCACTGAACAGAGACCACCCCCTCCCCGAGCACGGAGAACCCAGCTTAGGATCAGTTTTTAATTTGGATTAATCCATCCACCCTGTCCCACAGCCAGGTCCCTGATGGCTTGGAACAGCAGTTTTTGCTCAGTACACTTGGCATGGCCAGGTTTGCCTCTCCTACCCCTGTCAGTGCAAAGTCAATCTGCTTGGAGGGTACCCAACACCAGCCTCGACTGAGCCACTGCACACCAAAGCCCCCCACGTCTCCTGATTTCAGTTTCTTCCATTACTCTCCTTCCCAGGTTGGTCAGGGCTTCCATTTCTTTGACCACTCTGCTGGGCTGAGGTTTTCTTCTTAGTTGGTTGTGATGTGCACCAGGATAAGGATGGGAAGAAGATGTCTACAGGAAGAATTGCTTGCAAAGCACTTGAGAAGTGGGCTCCAGGAAAGACTGCTGCTCCTCAAAAGCCCAGACTCAACAATATCAGTGCAGCTGAAAGACCCACAGAGGGACTCTCCCCTGCTTAGAGAACCCAGAAAAGTAACCCAGAGCCAGTGTGGGACCTTTGAGAGGTCCCACCTTGCAGCTTTCAGCAGGGCATGTACTGGGAGGCCTGGGGTCAGCTTGCACAGGGTCAGCCACGGGGTTTTACACACATCCAACCAACCCCCACAGCCCAAGGAAAGCACTGGAAATCACCCTGAAGGAAGTGCAGGCACTTGGAGCTGCCCTTTCCACCCAGCTCCTCCTGCAAGAGGCAGGAGCCAAGGCTAGAGGTGACCCAGCTGGCTGCTTTCCATGTCCCAGACCAGTCCAACGAGCCCCATGGCAAAGCACTCACCACGCCTTCAGCAGGTTAAAATGAAATTTCACAAGGGGCTAGAAAAAAACAACACACCTTCACAGCCAGCCTTCCAGCCGAATCTGGCTCAGACGCTGATCTCTGCCCTGCAGTGACCAATGACAGGACACAAGGGCTGCATCAGGAGAGGTTCAGGTTAGATATTAGAAAAAGGCTCTTCACCCACGGGAGTGGTCAAAGCACAAAGCCTGAGAGTTCAAAAAGCACTTAGACTGTGCTCTCAGGCACAGGGTGTGACTCCTGGGGAAGGTCCTGTGCAGGGTCAGCAGCTGGACTTGGTGACCCTTGTGGGTCCCTTCCAACTGAGCATATTCTGATTTTTTAATTCTGGCTGCTCAGCATGACAGGGGCTACACTTCCCACTGCAAACTGTAAGGTTTTGGTTCAAAGAGTCTGAGGAAGACCCAGAGTCCCCTGAATCCAAAGTGTTTGATGGATTTACCCACAGGAAAAATGGAACCACTTGTTCCCACCCTGCCCACAATAACACCTGGCAAGAAAGGCCAGCAGGAGCAGGACCACAAGTGCCACAGCACTGGGGATTCCCCCAGTTCACCCTCATCAGACCTACACAGCAAAACACACACTGCTATTTTTCTGAAAGCTAAGAAAGTCAGGGATGTTCAGCCTAGAGAAAAGAAGGCTCCAGGGAGTCCTTAGAGACCCCCACAGCCCCTAAAGGGGCTCCAAGAGAGCTGAGGAGGGACTTTAGACAAGGGCCTGGAATGACAGAACAAGGGGGAACAGCTTCCCACTGCCAGAGAGCAGGTTAGATGGGATACTGGGAGGAGTTATTCCCTGGGAGGGTGGTGACACCCTGGTACAGGTTGCCCTGGATCCCTGGAAGTGTCCAAGGCCACGGTGGATGGGGTTTGGAGCAACCTGGGCTAGTGCAAGGTGTCCCTGGATGATCTTTAAGATCCTTTCCCACTCAAAGCACTCCATGATTCTGTGATACTTCAGAGAGCCAAGTGAATCCGGTGCCAGAGCACAGGCATGCATGTGGCAGGGAAAAAGCTTTAGGACAGAAGTGGCATCATCATCTCCAGTTTCACATCCAGTTTTGGTGCTGTCACTCAGCAGCATCCAGTGACCTCTCTGGAAAACAGTGAGGTTAATGCCAGAGTTTGACCCAAAGTGAGCAGAACCAGCTGCTCCCAGGCAGGAAAGGTTAGCTAGGAGCCTGGACAGAGACAGGCAATCCCAGCTGGAGCTGGGATGACTTCAAGTTGGATCAAAATAGAGAACCAGAAGCAAGGACGCAGGAAACCCAGTCTGAGATAAGGGATATCAGGGTCACACAGGAACGCAAAGGTCACACGAGGAGTGACGATGAGGAGCTGCAGAGGGGACAGCCCGAACCTCACCGAAAGGTCACACCTCAGGAATGCCCACAACAAAAGACAGGCAATAAGCAAATTAAAGCTAAATGTGACCCGGGATGGCAGGTACTTGGTAAGGACTTAGGAACACCTTCTAGGTTAAAAACAGCACAAATTCCACCTTCCAGGAAGCGGCGGGACCAGCACCACCGGCTGCAGCCAGCTGATCCAGCACCGGGCACCTCCGGGCCCGCGAGGCCCTCAGAGCGGGCGGGGGCCGGGGCAGAGCTCCGCGGGCGCTGCAGGGCCGACCCCGGCCCAACCAGAGATGTCGGCGAGGCGCCGCGGGCTGGCACGGCGCTCCCCGAGCGGGCACACGGCGCGGAGCGGGCACACGGGCGGAGCGGGCCCGCGGAGGGCCCGGCCAATCACCGCCCGCCGCCGCCGCCCCGCATCGGCGGCCCTCGCCGCCTATAGGCCCGAAGCGAACAGCTCAGCCTTCCCATTGGCCGCCGAGCTGCCCATCTCAACATAGTCCCGCCCCCCGCTCCCCCATCCCAGGCGCCCGGGCGGCGCCAAGGACACCGGGGCGCGACCGCGGGCTACCGGCCCCGCGCGGCCCCCGGCGCGACCCCCGCGCCGCTGCCGCTCCCGCCGCAGCCCCCAGCCCTGCCCGCGGCCCCCCCGCCCGGCTGGGCCCGGCCTCACCGTCCGGAACGCACCGGCGTGTCCGCACAGCCCGCTCGTGGTCCCGGCTCTGACAGCGGCCCCGAGCACCGGCCCCGCCCCGCCCCGCCTCTCCCTTGCGTCACTACGTCGCGTCGCCACGCCCCTTTTGCCACGCCCTTCGGTCCCGGCCCAATGCGCCTGCGCAGTCTGGAGTGTCGCTGTGGGCGGGGCCAGGCAAGGCTGTGGCGCAGGAGAGGCCTGGGGATTTCACCATGGCCAGAGGATTGTCACCGGAGTTTGGGGACTCTGACCATGGCCGGAGGGCCCTGACCATGGCCTGGACACCTTGTGTGGCCTGGGGACCTCACCATGGCCGGGGAACTCTCACCGCGGCCTGGACACCCTGTGTGGCCTGGGGACCCCACCATGGCCAGGGGAGTGTCACCACGGCCTGGGGACTCTGACCATGGCCGGGGAACTGTCACCACGACCTGGACACCTTGTGTGGCCTGGGGACACCCACTGTGGTCCATCGCTCTCAGCCCTCATTGTGGCTTAGTGACTCTCAGCAAGGCTTCAGGACCCCGACCGTGGCCTGGGGACCTCTGCCGTGGCCTAAGGATCTCCACTGTGTCGTGGAGAACCCCTTGCTGTGGGTTTTGGGGTGTCCTGCCATGTGTGACAGCCAGCGGATGCCCAGCAGGGCACAGGAGGTGCTCTGGGAACTCTGTTTTTTCTGACAATTTCCTGCCAGTGAGTCATGGTGGTGCCAGTCCGGCCACAGCAGCTGTGCAGGGCTGGGTGGCACTTTCAGGAAGCGAAACGGGTGCCAGGAAAACACCCCGACAGCCCGAGTCCACGCAAGCCCAGCCACGCACATCCCCCGGCCCTCCCGGCGTGGTGCAATCTCCGGCACGCCGGATGGACGTGAGGATGAGGATGAGGATGAGGAGAGCTCCTAAAGGCCGTGTCTCTGAAGGCCGTGTCCCCAGGGTGGGGCACAAGAAACTGAGTGGACAGCAGGGTCCTGCCCCCACTGGTGTTGGGGCAGTGAGGACAAGAGGGGTGGCAGAGGAGGCAGAGCTGGCCGTGGCACCAGGGGCTGGGCAGTACGGGAGGAAGCTGTGGGGAAATGGTGGAGTGGCAGCGCTTGCACCACTGGCCACTTCCGGGCACCCATGGCCCTGACAACGATGGGTGTCACCACAGCTGGGGCTGGCTTTGGGGCTGGGGTCAGAGCTGGCTCCCTGTCCAACTCCCTGCTGGGTCAGCCAAACGTCAGACTGGCACATGGTCACAGGCCCCACACATCAACCCGCATCCCCTCTGCTCTCTGGCCCACCAGCCCTGGATCATCCCCTGCTCTGCCCCATATCTGGAGTATTCCCTGCTCTGCTCCATGCTCTGCCTCCCCACTGCACTGCCTGGGGGAAACTAACCCCCCCCAGCCCTGCAGTCTCAACAGAGGAATTGGGCAAATCCGGGCATTACGAAACCTGGAAATCCCACTCTGACGGCGCTTCCTTCTCGAGGCTCTTAAAAACCAGCTATGCTGAGGCTGGGCTCAGAGAGCAGCCAAGCAGCACTGCAGGCCAGGCAGCAGCAGGCAGCCAAGCCTCGGAAGTTTGCAGGTGCTGTGAAGTCTCTGCCCAGGACTCTGCAGTCGGTGGCGGCAATGGCATTCGTCCCCGATTTGGACACACTGGAGAGCACCAGGTAAGACATGCTGGAGAGGACTTTGGGGATGTGATGCTGCATTGCTGACCCTGACTTCACTTCTCTATCTCCTTTTGCCTTTCAGCCTGAACGAGGAGACGTTGTATGGCCCCAGCTGTCTGTGCCCGCAGAAGGTAACGCTGTGGTGCTGGGAGTGCTGGGGTCCGTGCCGCATGGAAGCCAGGCTCTCACCCTACATCCCCTTTCTTCCCCAGAAGCCCCGGCTGGATCTGGAGGGGACATCGCCTGGGGTGGACATCCAGGTGACGGTGACAAAAGGAGCTCTCTCCAGGACCTTCCGCCAGGTTGCTGTGCTGGTGGTTGCTGTGACCAAACTCCAAAAGCAGCCGACCCGCCAGGACTTTGCTGACAGCGACCTCGGCAGCTTCTTGGACGATATTTTCGGTATGAGGCTGATGGCAGGGGTGGCACCCCAGCCAGAGGATATTTTTGGGGGACATTCTTGGACCTGGGGGCAGCGTCCTCCTGACTGTGTCGCTCCCCCACAGAGCCAGTCTCCTTCCAGCACATCAGAGGCACTTGCAGCAGGGCGCCCGTTTTCCGCTACACTCGCTCCCAGTCCTTCGACATCCTGGACATCGACCACAAGTGCTTCGTGCTGGAGTCACCCACCCAGCTGGTGGCCCTGCACCTGCAGGGACCCTCTGCTGGACAGAAAGGTGAGAGAGAGAATATGCTCCCATCCCAGTGTCCCTGTCCCCAAACCCTGGACCACCCCACAAACCCAGGACCGCCCGTTTACCTGTCCCTTTTCTCTGCAGTGAAGCTCAACATTGCTCTGTACCGTCCTCGGTCGTCTCAGGGTGCTCCAGGGTCTGGAAAGATGCCAGTGGCATTGGGCATCAAGGGCTACCAGCTCTACATGTCGTGTGTGATGAGTGGCACCAAGCCCGTGCTGCAGCTGGAGGTGAGCAGGGGGGTGTAGTTATGATATTTTATGAAAAATCCTCTGTTAGGATTTTTCCTGGTTTGAAGAGCTGAGAGCTTTAGGAAAGAAATGTAAATAATAACTTTTAATTTTAATAATAACAACTATTTGTTGTTGTGGAATGTAATAGGTGTATTTTTTATTGGTTTATGCAGGTTGTTTTTAATTAGTGACTAATCACAGCCACTTGTGTTGAGGCTGTGAGCATTCACAAGATTTTGTTATGCGTTCTATTCTATTCTTTTTCTCTGTAGCCTTCTATCTGTTCTCTCTCTCTGTTCTTTTAGTATAGTTGTAATGTAGTATTTTAATATAATATATAACAGAATAAATCAGAAAAATGGAGTCAAGCCTCGTGTCCTCACACTTAGAGCATTCACCGCAGGAGGGGGGTCCCACCAGCCTGTCCTCTGTGGGGCTGGGGGCTCCATTCCTCCTTGCCCACCACTTCACCCCCTCTGGCTGTAGGAAGCTGACATCAGGAGGGACATCGAGAGCGTGGAGCTGACCCGCTTCATCTTCTACCGCCTGGACAGCCCAGCGGAGGGCACCACCCGCTTCGAGTCGGCCGCCTTCCCCGGCTGGTTCGTCTGCACATCGCTGCAGCCCCGGCAGCCCGTGGGCATCACCAACACCCCCGACCAGGTGAACATCGCCACCTACGAGCTGAGCGGGCGCTGAGGAGCCGCCCTGCACCAACCCAACCGGCAGTCACCGGTTTTCAGGCTGTATGTACTAAGTACAACCCCCCGGGACACGACCCCCGCATCTATTTCATGTGAAATAGCAGCTCTGGGCCCCATGGGCTCGAGCCATCCCAGTCTGTATTTATTTATTTATTGTGTCTGCCCATTGCTTGGGTGCTTATTTATTGTGCCCCCTTATTTATTTGTGCTTTTAACTTGTATGTGGATGGAGGTGGAAATAAAAAGTTTTCTAGAACAGCATTGCTCAGCTCATTGCTCACAGGGGATGGGGTTATGGATGGGAAAATCCTTCTGCTTTGGCTGGTTTTTGGGTGAAAATCCAGGGCGTGGGGGGCCACCCCACAGCCCAGGGACCACCCTGACCCATGCAGGACTCTCCACCACTCTGTCTCCATGCCCACACCACAGCTGAGAGGTGACTGAGGTGGGCATCCCGTGGTGGATCCCCAGCAGCTGCCTGGAACTGTCCCCTCTGCCCCAGCTGTGGCCAGCACATGGCACGGGGGGCCAGAGTGCAGCAGGACAATGAGTGGCATGGCATGGCATGGCATGGCATGGCCAGATGTGGCATGGCATGACCAGATGTGGCATGGCATCGCACACTGTGCCATGGCACTGTCAAAAATAGCTTAGAAACTGTTGTAAAATAGTTGATAGATTGTTAAGCATGTACTGTTAGTTTGGTTGTTTTATTGGAAGAGGGGTTAAAAGGGTAGTTATAAGAAATACATTACTCAATATAACACAACACACCTCAGTGAAGTGCACCACGAGCCAGCCTGGACAGAACTGTCACGGGCCAACCAAACGCCTTAAACCTTCGTGCAAATTAAGGATCCAAAAAGAAACCAATCCAAACAGACAAAAAACATGACAAAAAGGGGGCATCTGACCCAGCGAATCCGTGCCGCTCCACCTGGAACACTGCTGCTCAAGAAAACCCAGCGCCGGCGCTGCAGCACCCTCGACGGGAACGCTCCTGCTCGGCCCGCAGCCCCTCATGCTTTAGGCCTTTTTTTTTTTTTTAAATAATAAATGCTGAAATCAGTGTAGTCCCGGGAGCGTGTCCCGTTTCTGACAGCACGGCACGGCTCGGCACGGCAAGCTGTCCCTGAGGGGATGGCCCCGCCCCGCGGCTGGCCCTGCCGCCCGCCCGTTCAGCCAATAACAGCGCCCAGACCGGCGCTCGGCTCTCCCCATTGGTCGCTTTGAAGAAGGCGGTGGCCAATAGCGGCGGCGCGGCGGTTGTGGGGAGCGCCGGTGCTCGGCCGGCGGCGGCGCCCGGGATGGAGCGAGCGGGAGCGGCGGGTGAGGGAGCCCCGGGCTGGGCCTGAGGGCACCCGGAACCGGGCGTGGGGGCGGAGGAGAACGGAGCTGAGAGGCCCTGTGGACCCTCTGGGGCGGGGAGGCCAGGGTTCTGTGGGAGTGCTGGGCTGGAGATGGGCCTGTGGGGAGGGGGCCAGGGGGCTCCTGAGGGAGCTCCTGAGGGGGCTCCTGAGGCCTCGGGAGGGAGCGTGTGCCTGACGCTGTGGCACAGATGGAAGAATGGGGAGGGTGCCAGGGGTCGCCTAGGGGCTCCTGAGGCCTCGGGAGGGAGCGTGAGCGCTGTGCCCGACGGTGTTGAGCCCGCGGGAGGTGCCCACAAAGCGGGCCCAGGGTTTGGGAGAAGGCGGTGTCCCTGTGGACCCTCTGGGGCGGGGAGGCCAGGGTTCTGTGGGAGTGCTGGGCTGGAGATGGGCCTGAGGGGGCTCCTGAGAGAGGTCGCCTAGGGGCTCCTGAGGCCTCGGGAGGGAGCGTGAGGGGGAGCGTGTGCCTGACGCTGTGGCACAGATGGAAGAATGGGGAGAGGGCCAGGGGCCGCCTGAGGGGGCTCCTGAGGCCTCGGGAGGGAGCGTGAGCGCTGTGCCCGACGGTGTTGAGCCCGCGGGAGGTGCCCACAAAGCGGGCCCAGGGTTTGGGAGAAGGCGGTGTGGGAGTGTGTTGGGGGGTACCGTGTTCTCTTGGGGCTCAGTGGAAACCTTTCCTTCTGCAAGCTGAGCCGTGCACAGCTGGGTGGCATCACACTGTGGCGGTCAGGAAGATTAAGTGGGGCAATATCATGTGCAAGGGACTTTGTGGGAGCAGCGCTGCCAGGCAGGGAGGTCGAGAGGTGTGCAATGTAGTGTTTGAGAGTAACAGAGATTGTCATGAGTACCCATTCTCTGAGTACTGAGACCTGTGTGCACTGCATTTCTTGTCATCTCTTTGCAGCACAACGCAGGAGCCAGCTGCAGAACTGCCAGGCAGCCAAGGAAAGGCTGAAATGCACAAGTGCCAAGTAAGTTAGGAGGATGTTGGGCTTGGATGAGGTGATATGTGAAGGTCTGAGGTATAGCTGGCTCTCCCCAGTGGCCAGTGTCTGCCTTCTCTGGCTTGTGTACAAAGAACCAGCTCCTGTCAGGGCCTCAATGTCTGGGCTCTGCCCCACAGCACCCTGGCACCAGCCTGTAGTTACTGGCAGCAGGAGCAAAGGAATGGTTTGAGTGCTGCTGGTGGTGTCTCTTCTGCATGTTCTCTGTGAAACCTCCTCATCTCAGCTCCTGGCTCTGGCAGTTTGGGAGCCTCCAAACCTGCTGCCTGCAGGAATCATTTTGGTTAGTTTTGTTGTCCGTGGAAGTTTTGTGACAGCATTGGATGTTAATGGCTTGTGTTGCTTTTCTGTTGCCATGCAAAAGAGAAAGAATTAATAGTATGTGGTAGAATTCCTCGACAGGTTTTTGATTTCTGAAAGCTACTCCTAAGCTCCTGTGTCTGAGACAACCAGCAGGGGGTTAGATACCTAACTCTTTCTGCTTTTCTTATGGCTGATAAATAGCCTGATTATTTGTTAAATAACCTGATTATTTGTTAAATAACCTGATAACTTTTTGGACTTTTACAGACCCTTTTTAAAGGACTGGACTAATCACCTGAACACACCCCTAGAACCAGTTTCTAAACTCAAGAGTGTAAGTAGGAAGCTTTTGAGTCTTTCATGCTTTCAGTGAGTCTGGGCAGAACGGGGTCCCCTGTCACAAATGAGTGTTTTATGGTTGCTTAAAGAATCAGTGGCAAAGGCTAAAGCAGGTTTAATATTGAAGTGAAAGCATGACCAAGTTCATAGAGAAAAAGCAAGTTAAAATCTGAAATCAATCTGAGCACTGGGCTTGACCAACAGCTTAGGCCTGAAGGTTTCAACAGTGCTTAAACTTAACAGCACTTTATTAATAGGTTAAATTAAATAATTTAACAAAGGATTCATATAGAATTTACTGTAGCACATCAATAACTTGCTTAACAGGCCTGACTTAAATTCTAAAGTACTTAAGAACCAAGGAAAGCCACATTCATGGAACATTTGCTCTAGCATGCTTAAACATACATACACCTAAGGAGTTTGTATGAGGTATATATCTGTGAAAAATCCCCCTTGGATTCAGTGAAGGACTCATGGTGGTGCCTTTGTGTCACTGTTGAGATGGGCATAACAAACAGACTTAAAAAGGCTTCTCTCTATTAGAAACCTCCCCTAAAATGGAAAATGTAACCGCCCTCCCTCTGAATTGTTATAAATTTGAAATTAAGGGGGGCTCTCAGGCAAAGATATGGGAGCAGGAATAACAGTTCTTTATTAGGGAAGAAAATTTAAAAAAAAAAACCACCACAATGCAGTAAAACAGAACAACACTGACAAAGTCAGAATACAACCTGACACCCTGTGGGTCAGGGTGTAGGTAGCAGTCTAGTTGGAATTGTGGCTCAGCCCTCCTGCAGTGCCAGGGGTGGTTCTGCTGGAGCAGGGATCCTGGAAAAGTCCAACTGGAATTGTTGCTGCAGTCCTCCTGCAGTGCCAGGTGTGGTTCTGCTGGAGCAGGAATCCTGAAGGAGGGTGTAGTGGTGGTGTAGATGGGTCTGCTCTTCCTCTGAAGATCCAGAGGAAGCTGTTCCTCTGGGAATCCAGTGAAAGGCTGTTCTGCTGTCCCAAAATCTCAGACCAAATCAGGCAGGAATGCTTGGCTCCTCCCTCCGGGCAGAGCATCTCACAATGGGATGATGTAATTTTAACAGTCATGCAGTGACACTCAATGGCCCATTAACAGCAGATGTATCCCCGGAAGGAGGATTGGTTTGGGGAAGAGATAAAGAAAACGGCCCAATTCACAGAAGACAACTGCCACACCTTTAATAGATGGCAAATAGAATACATATTGCATTGCAATCCAGACACTAACTTTTTCTGACTCACAGACCAGCTGTGAGCCCCTTCCACACCTTTGTATCTTCTCAACAGGCAAAAGGGTTGAGCCTTGGGGCGAGGGGATATCTGTGGGAAGATGGATTGTAGGAGAATAAGAGACAGTACTGAAGACAGTCTCACCCCTTGAGGAATTGCAGCTGTACTGATTACATGCCCATGAGAAACTCACAGAGAGGGTATAGAAGTTTTACAGTAAGATAATGACAGGTATCAGCCCAGGCTCTGTTGACATCATTAAATGTGAGAGTTTGCTGGCTCTGAGAAGCCCCACTCAGTGGGAGATGCTGGTCACAGCTCTCAGCAGTCCAAGAGAGCTCAAAAGGTCTCACTCAGGGTCACTGCTTATAGGGTCACAAGAGAATTTACTTTAGTAATAGTGATTTTTCATCCTGGCTGCAATTCAGACAACTTACTTTGGAAACCACATCCCCAAGTCAGGGTCATGAGTTCCTGACTGCAAATGGGGGACATACCACAGATTGCTAAATAGCTGGCAGTGAGTCAACTAGCTGTTCTTCACAGGAGTTTCAGTTTGGGAGACTGCTCCTTTGCCCCTGTCCTGGTGGGTGTTGTGTTATTGTCCTGTTGATGGCTGCATTCTCCTTGGAGCTGAGAGCTGCTTTCTCTTTCTAGGTTAACAGCAACAAGAAGGATGTTCTTGGGACTGTGATGGAGGGTGCTCAAGAGGATGGCAAGCTTGGAGCCAAATCCATGCAGGACACTGGCCACACTGCTCTGAAGAAGGCTTCAAACACATGCCAGAGAGCAGGAGGAGTGCAGCCAGGGAACGATGTGACGTTTCCTGCTTCTGCACAGGCTAGAGGCAGGCTCCCACCTTCAAGCTCTGGTCACCTAAATCCAGAAAGGAGCCAGAAGCCTGCACAGGAGACTGTCACTGCAGCAGCACCACAGGTGGGAAATGACCACTCTCTGCACTCCCTGAATGTGGGGCTGCAGGACAGGCTGGTCTGCAATAAGGAAAACCTTGGCCCACAAGCTTCCACATCCTCAGAGCTGATCAGAACTATCCACTCCAATAAAAACAGTGTCAGGAAGGAGGTGAGAGTGTCGGCCCACAGGCAGGAAAGATCTGGAACATCAAGGTCTGCTCTGGGTCAAAAAGGAAGTATGGGCAACCACCAGGCTAAGGAAGAGACAGATCTGGACAAATTCAGGAAAACCCTGCCTGAATCAAGAAGGTCTCAAAATACAAGTAACACAGCTCAACCACTGCAGCCCTCTCGGCTCCTTCCTGCTTCTACTGGTATGACACATAAAAACCCAGGGACAAAGCAAGGAGAAGTCACTACTGTGAGGCAGCCTGGCACAGCTCCAGGGGGGAGCCTCAAGCACAGCCAGTCTCCCCCAGTGAGATTTTCCACCTTGGGCAAGTCCCAGGGCACCACAAACCTGAAATCCAACCTGAACTCCAGAGTCACTTTGCCATGGCCAAGGCCCATGGTTAAAGAGAAAATGGAGAGGAAGGACATGAAGGTGGTGGCTCCTGGACACACGGCAGCATCCCGAGGGACAGGTCACCAACACCAGTCTCACAGCATACACAACTCCAAAACTCGTGTCCCTGAGGATGATTTGAGAAGCAGGAGGGATCAGCCTGAAGCAGAGCTGCTGAAGGCAGGTGGCATGCAGGCTGGGCGTGTTCCAAGGACCCCATCAGCTGCAGATCGTAGGTAAGTGTCAGCTCTGGGGGAGCCAGCACCACCCTGCTGAAAATGGAGATAATTTTTTATGAGTGAAAGTTTGTGGGGAGGTTGATGCCCTGAAAAAGAAAGGGTTGGGGATGATGTTGGGAGGCACCCAGGGTTTCTCTCCCACCAATTCAGTAAGTGGAAGGAAAGTGTGTGGCCACTCTCCTGCTTTAGCCTCAAGGCTTACACTTGGGAGTGATTTCCTTTCCCAGTCTAGAGCTCAGGTGTGTTTCTGAGATTGATATACTGATTCTTTTTAAGCAGCTGAAGCCACCACCTTCATGTCCTTCCTGTCCATTGTCTCTTTAACCATGGGCCTTGGCCATGGCAAAGTGATGCCTGGGTTCAGGTGGATTTCAGGGTGGCTAAAGGAAGACTCCAAGGAAAAACAGCAAGTTACTGTCTGCTGGTAACTGTGATTTCTCTGTCCCTGGACAGGAAGCAGCTGGAGGAGTGGTTGGCAGCCAAAGGCAAGACATACAAGCGGCCGCCGATGATGCTGCTCCAGAAACAGGCAGTGAAACCATCCTGCAGAAAGGTCAAGGCAACAGAGGAGCAAGAGAATCCAGAGCAGCGCTACCAAGCAAAGATCAACAACATATTTACTGAGTGCCTGAAGCTCATTGAGGAGGTGAGAATAGGAAAGGAGCTGCTTGAGTGAGGTTTTCCTCTCCTGAAGCATGCCAGGGGATGAGGGCCATGACCCTCCAGTAGCTAAGAGGGGTTCAGTGGCAAGAGGGGAAACATAGGAAAATAAAAGTCCTCATAAGGTTTTGGGCAGGCCAAAGGCATGCAGAGGCAGACCAGAGCTTGAAGGTGGGAGCCTGCCTCTAGACTGGGAGAATGGAGAGGTAGCTTTCCTCCACTCAAACTGCAACAGAGAGATACCCTGTCAAAAAAGAGTGTTGTGGTTTTTATATCTGCCATGGTTATGTAGGAGACTTGCAAAGCCAGACTTTTGAAGGCCTCCTCCTGAAGACTGCTGGGAGCTGTGGTCAGGCACAGTCTGCTTCCTGGAGCACACATTCATCCATGCCATGGACACCTTTCTTCAGGCCCTTGCCCTTCCCCTTGCAGGGTGTCCATGCAGAGGAGATCTCAGCAGTGCTGTCCCTTGTGCCCCAGGCAGAGAAATTTGCCAAATTCTGGATCTGCCAAGCCAAGCTGCTGGCCCGGAGTGGCCCCTTTGATGTGTTGCAGCTGTACAGAGAAGCAGTCAGTGCTGGGGCTGAGGTGAGTGGGGCATGCCACCTCCCTGTGTTCCCTGCCTCTGCTCTGGAGGGCTTCCTCGAGATCCAGGGGCCAGGATTTGGAATGAGTTTAGCAGCATTAAAAGTGAAAAAGCCTTTTAGAGCTGCCAGTCCCATCCTATGCTGCAGGATGTGACCATGCAGGGTGGGCTGGGTGCTGAGGGATCCCACTGGGCAAAGGGGAATACTGCAGCCTCTTGCTGCTGTCCTCAGCACAGCCTGAGCAGCAAAAGCCTTTCCTCCCATTCAGCTCTAGCTCTGGTCTCCATTCCCATGCCAGACTGCCCTGACCCATGTTCTGCTTTTCCTGCAGCCAGTTGAAGAGCTCAGACAAACTGCTCTCAAGATTTTGAAGGATGCAGGCCAACAACTGGAAGGTAACCTGAGCATTGTGGGGTTGGTGAGCACAGGCAGGCAGGGGCTCCCTGGTGTTGCCAGGAGGCAGCACTGTTCACAGTCTGTCCCAGCACCCCGTGTCCCTCCTGAGGAGTGCTGTGAAAGTCTGGAATCCTGATCTGAAAAATGGGGCACTGTTACTCTGCCTGGGCTAGGGAGGGTCCTGGCCCTGTGTGATCCCTAGCCTGCACTGCAGCTGTGTTGCCTTTTTCCTTTCCTGCCAGGAGAAAAGGCAGAGGAACCCATTCCTTGGGAGCCTACCACACCTTGTCCAGCTGAGAGGCAACCCATGGCATCAACTCCAGGCCTGGTGGGGAGGCCCATGACCTCCCTCCCACCCTCAGTCAAGCTACAGGTTACATCTGCATCCAGGTAAGGCTGAACCTCCTGCTCCTGGCAGCACACACCCTTCCATGCCAGTGGCCCTCTGCAGGGTTTACCCTCTGGCCACGTTTCTCTTCACAGAGAAAAGCAAGGCATAATTCTTCCCAAGGATTTCTAAGATTCACATTCTCTGAACCTCAGAGAAAGTAAAAACAATTCTCATTTGCTGTGTTTGTGCAAAAGTAGAATGCAACATGGAGATTGGGTACCCAGAGTGATGGTGTTTTGTTTCCTTGGCCTATCAGGGCCAAGAGTGTGTGTGTGGCTGACAGTCACAAGATGAGTGCAGTTGTGTGCAGAGCTAAGTGCTTGCAGATTCAATTTAGATGTAATGTAATATAATATAGAATAATATAGTATAATGAAGTAATTAATTAGCCTTCTGATATCCATGGAGTCAGATGCATCATTCCCTCTCCCTCATCAGGGGTGCCCTGTTTCAATATTACCCAAGGCTGCACTTCTCTCCACAGAGGAAAGGAGTTCCTGGAAGGCCCAGAACTGAAGTTTGTAACTCCGGTGCGGCGCTCCCTGCGGACCGAGAGGGCTCAGAGTCGCTACCCCGAGATGCTGAAGGACCACGACCCTGTGGTGTCATCCCTCAGTGAAATCCTGGATGCTGAGGAGGACACTCGCTTCTTCTTCCGGAAAAACAAGGCTTTGCCAGAAGTGGCAGAGCTGGAGGGCTTGAGTTCATATTCCCCCACGAGCTGCTGAGGGTTCCCAGCAGGAGCAGACTGCCTGCCCACCCTGCTGCCTTGTACACACACTCCTGAGTGCTTGAGGCTTCCTACTGGAGCTGGTTGCCTCACAGTAATTTCTCCTTGCTTTGTCCCTGGGGTTTCATGTATCAAACTCTTGCTGCCCCTCAGATGTAGAGGGGAGGGCTTGGCACAGAATAAGCACGGATCAAATAAATATCTCAGTCTGGTTTTAAATATCTCAATCTGGTTTTAAATGTCTCAATCTGGTTCTAAATATTAAACTTTGCACTGGAGATGGGTGTGGGCTAGTGAGTGGTGTGGAGACAGCAGCTGTGTCTCCTGGGATTGTGGCCCCCAGCCCCTCTGCCATCACACACACTCTGGGAGCCCAGCTGCTGCAGTGGGGCTGCCAGGGATGCTGCAGCAGTGGCACTGCTGTTCACCCTGCTGCTGCATGCCCCCACGCTGGCGCTGAGCTGGTGGCAGAGGGATGAGCTAAAGGGGCACCAGGCAGATGTGAATTCAAGGGGCAGGAGCTAGCAGCCTTGGGAGGAGCCTCTCCTGGCTCTGGGCAGAGTCAGGAGAAGGTCCCAGCTGCCCAGGGACAGGTGTGACCATGAGTCAGGGCCACCAGCCATCCTGTGGCCACCACAGGTGGTAGCTGGCCACGAGTGCAAGCGAAATTCAGGAAAACCCTGCCAGAATCAAGGAGCATGTCACAAAATACAAGTAACACAACTCAGCCATTGCAGCCCTCTCAGTTCCTTCCTGCTTCTACTAGTATGACAGAAAAACCTAAGGACAAAGCAAGGAGAAGGCACCACTGTGAGGCAGCCTGGCACAGCTCCAGGGGGGAGCCTCAAGCACAGCCAGTCTCCCCCTGTTAGAAGATTTCCAGGGCAGAGATTGAGATGATCATTGTTTTCATTCTTTCTCTGAGCTTTCTCACAGCTTCCCAGAGAATCCTAGGAGGGTTATGTCCCTCTGTGTTCAGAGGATATGTGATCACCACAGAGCTGGGGATAGCTCAGGGCTCCACTTTCTCCCTAGGGGCTTGTGCTTGCCCCAGCTGCTGGACAAGGATTTGGGGGCTGCCCTTTCTCTCATCTCCCACGTGCAGGGACAAAGCAGTTTGCCTTTAAAACCAATTTTATATCTCTGCGGTACCAGGAGTTTTGTGTCTCTTTTATAAATAGAAAAGGGTAGAAAGAAGAAAAGAGGAACAGCAGGTGCAGGGGGTTCCAGTGGAGCAGGTGTCACCTGCAGAGCCCCACCCCATCCACCCAGCATTGCAGTGCTCATGGCCAGGCCCAGAGGATAAAGGGGCAGGGGCTGAAGCTGCTGGGAGCCCAGCTGCTGCAGTGGGGCTGCCAGGGATGCTGCAGCAGTGGCACTGCTGTTCACCCTGCTGCTGCATGCCCCCACGCTGGCGCTGAGCTGGTGGCAGAGGGATGAGCTAAAGGGGCACCAGGCAGATGTGAATTCAAGGGGCAGGAGCTAGCAGCCTTGGGGGGAGCCTCTCCTGGCTCAGGGCAGAGTCAGGAGAAGGTCCCAGCTGCCCAGGGACAGGTGTGACCATGAGTCAGGGCCACCAGCCATCCTGTGGCCACCACAGGTGGTAGCTGGCCATGAGTGCAAGTGGTCCAGGGCCACTGAATCCTCCCGTGGGCAGCATGGCAGCACTTGGGGTGTGCTCAGGCTTCTCCATCATCTTCCTCCTCCCCACTTGAGTCCTGGGGGACCTGAGGCAGTGCAGAAAGGGCTCAGTGAGCGCAGGACCCCAAGGGCATCAGCGTGTCAGGATGCCCATGTCCTTCTGCCCCCCAGTTCCTGCCACCCACCTGGTGGGGGTCACCACGCTGGGCCAGCCAGGGAGGAAGGGCAGTGGCCACGTCCCCTGAGTCCCGGCGAGAGTGCTCCACCGTTGACTCGTGGGCCATCTGCAGGGGGTGGACAAGGCTCCCAGAGAGAGGCTGGCACCAGCCCCATGCCCCTCAGGCAGCGAGGGAAACTGAGGCACGATGGGCGACCAGCAGGGCCTGGGGGTTGCGTACCAGGACAGGGGGTGCCCGGAAGAGGTAGCTGAAGGGGTAATAGAGGAAGTTGATGAAGGAGGCGGCGTAGAGGTCTGCATAACGCATCAGCTGGTTGGCAAAGAGCGTCTGACGTGAGCCACAGCGGAACAGGCTGCCCATCTTCCCATAGCACATGTCCATCTCGTGCGTGACTTTCTGGGGGTGCAGCAGCACAGTCAGGGCACCCAGCGGCTCCTGGGGGGCCCTCCACAGAGGAAGCTGGCAGGGGGCTGAGCTGAGCTGTGTGCCAGCAGGCACAGTGCCCTGGGTGTCACCTGGATCCGACGCTTGATGGAGCTGATGTCTGGGCGCTCGCTGCTGCCGCTGTCCAGGTGCCTGGAAGGGAGCAGACCCAGCTAAGGGCTCACCTGGAGGGCTCCCCACAGGTGCTCCCACCCCTGCTGGTCTCCCACCCCAACAACTCACTGGTACAGCTCGGCCAGGAAGAGATCCAGGCTCCGCAGCTCCTCAAACAGCTCTGCAAGGGCGACAGGGCCAGCTCAGTGCAGGAGCACCTCCCACTGCCCAGCACGACCAGCAAAGCGGGTCAGGCATGGCCCACTGAGGGGTGGAGGAGGCTCCAGGCCGCCTCCCCTCGCATGGCAAAGTCTGTGCCCCCAGCCCAGCCCTGCTCACCGCTCTTCTCCGTCCAGACCTGCAGCTCACGGGCCAGCTCGGGCACCACCAGGAAGGTGCGCCAGCCCTGCCGCTTCTTGGACTTGAGGATGTCCCCAAAGATGTGGTCCCCCATATAGAGGATGTCTTTGCCCTTCACACCCAGCAGGTCGCACACCACATCTGAGGAGCCTGTGACAGCCGGGGGTCAAGGTAGGGGGGTGGGCACGTCCCCCCTGCTGCCCACAGAGCCCAGCCAGCCCAGCTGGGTGCTTACCACCAGAGTACACAGCACAGTGCTGCAGGGGGCCCGTGTACGTCCCGATGCGCAGCTTCCCCGTGTCCTGCAGGACAAGAGGACGGGGACACTGTTACCTGTGCCTGCTTGGTGCCCAATCAGCCAGGAGCCCACCTTGCTGTGCCCACAGGAGCCTCCTCCGTGCCTCAGTAGTGCCCACCACCCCAGCCAGCCCTGCAGCAGGGGAGAGGTGCCCACCGTGTCCACTTGGCGCAGGACGGTGCCCTCAGCAAAGAAGAGGGGCTTGCGGGTGTCCACCACAATCAGGTCGAAATAGGATCTCCAGGGGCGCTGTGGGACGTCGGCCTGTGGGTGCCAGGGAAGGGGTGAGCAGGAGGAGGCTGTGGCACCCTGTGCCCCCCACCTGAGGCCGCAGCTCTCCCTCAGGGAGCAGCAGGCTGGTGAATTCCCACCTTTCCCAGGCCTTGTGCTGGGGAAGGCTGGGAGGTCAGAGAAAAGAATGACAATTCTTTTCTTCGCTTGCTGCACGTGTTGTTGTGAAGGTGTGGAATGTGCTATGGAGATGTGTTTACCAAGGGGTCATTTCTTAACTGGCCAATGGTGGTGGTGTTTGGATTCAAACTAAGCTGGAAAAAGCTGTATTGGACTGTCTGGAAGGGCGACGGGTTTCCTAATAGTGTAAAACAGTATAGTATAATAAAGTGATTGATCAGCCTTCTGGAATCATGGAGACAATGCTAATTACGACCCCGTTCAGGGGCCTGCTGCTACAACACCCACCCAGCCCACACTGGGGACAGACTCACCTTGTCGTCATTGCTGAAGTCAAACAGGTAGGACATGATGGCCTGCAAGGACAGCTGGCATCACACTGCTGCCCCCAGGGAAGGCAGGCCCTGCCTGTGCCTCCACACGGCCCCTCTGCCCCCCGTGCAGGGCAGGCTGGACGTGGTGGGGGGCACAGGGACACCCCTACTCACGTCAGTGTAGGTGTAGTCACTGTTGGTGGCCAGGAACACCTTCCCCACCTCCTTCATGCGGCTCAGCAGCAGCGGCACACGGGGCTGGCGAGGGGCAAATCAGTGAGGGGGGCACGGGGGGGCCACAGGGATTGACTGAGCAGAGCAGGGAGGGATCCCTGGGGCTGTACAACTCACATCCTTCACCACGTATTTCTCCAGGTTCTCTAGCGTCTTCTCCTTGAGGCAGCCCTGCAGGAGGAACGGGGTGGGGCTGGCCAAAAGCTCCCAGGGTGGGGAAAGCCCCCCCAGCCCAGCCCAGCCCCCTGCCCAGAGCACCCACAGAGAGGTGGACGTGGTCCATGGCCTCGCGCACGTCCTGGAACATGCTGCGGAAGGACATGAAGAGGTTCCCGTGCTTGTAGCCGGTGTCACAGCTGCAACAGGCAGGAGTGGAGGGGTGAAAGGGCTGCCCTGCTGGGGGGAGCTCCCCCCAGGATTTACACCAACACCCAACAGCAAGCCCCCCACCCACCAGCTCCCTCTTACTTGACATATCTGGAGCAGTTGGTGAAGAAGTCCACGAGGCAGGCGTAGAGGTGGGCCTCTGTGAGGGAGGGGGCTGTGAGAGGGGGTGCAGGGCAGGAGAGCACCCCAGGGTGGGTGGGAGGGCAGTGGGGGCTCTCACTCACCTGTGAGGTTGAAGAGGGTGTTGAGGATGTGGAAGCGTTTCATGTCATCCCGCTGGATGAACTTGTTGGGGTAATAGTGGAGGATTTCGGCTCTGGGGAGGGAGCATGGAGCTGCACTCCACCCTGAGGGACCTCCAAGCCCCCCGTGCCCCAGGGGTGGTGAATTGCCAGACTCACCCCTTGAGGAAGCGGAAGCCATGGGCACAGACCAGCAGGTTCCCGTGGGAATCCACCTTCAGCAGGTTCCCGTACTGGGCATCAAACACCAGCCCCCTGCACCACACAGCTGTCAGAGCCTGGGGGGCTCCTTCCCCTCCCCTCCCGTCCCTGGGACCCCTCAAACCCACCGGGTGGGAAAGGTGGGGTCGTATTTGTAGGCAAGGATCTCAGGAGGGTACCCGATGGCAACAAGGTGCTCCAGCAGCAGAGCGAAGGCCAGCTCCTCGTAGTCAGGGGACTTGTACACTGCAGGGGGAAAGGGGGATGTGGGCTGGGGCTGGGGGAACCCCCCCCTGCCCTAGGGCCCCCCCAAAAACGCACTGGCCAAGGTGTAGTCCATGTCAAAGCCAAAGCACTTGATCTTCTCCAGCGCCAGGCTCCGGTTGACGAAGATCCTGGGGGTGACCACGGGGGGAGTTATGGGGTGAGGAGAGGTTTAGGGCTGGGGGGTGGCACAGAGGCAGAGATGGGGTCGTGTTTCCCTATCCCAGCCAGTGCTCTGGAAGGGCTGTGTGCTCATCCCAGCCCAGGGCCCCCCACAGCAAGTTACTGGAGCAGAAAAACGGGCTGTGGAGCTGGGAATGGAGCTGCAGGAGGGAGGGGGGACACTAAACCCCTGTCTGGACCTGTCCCCCCAGGGCCTCTCCCCCTCCCGGTGCGACAAGGGTCCCCTCCCGTTCCTGACCCCCGGGGCTTTCCTGGGGGTCCCGCTCCTGCCCGAGCCCCCACCCCGCACCCCCAGCCCCTGCTCGCCCGTCCCCGCGGTCCCCAGCCCACCGGTGCTGGCAGTCCCTCCGCAGGGCCCGGGGGTCGCCGTGCCCGGGGCCCCGGGCCGCCGCCGGGCCCCGCTGGCCCTCGCTGCCCATCGCCACCGCCTCCGGCCCCGCTGGCCGCCGCCGCTTTAACGGGGCCAGGCGGAACCGCCCCCCGGCACGGGACAGTCACCCCCGGACGGGGCATCACCCCCGGACGGGACAGTCACCCCCGGACAGGGCATCACCCCCGGACGGGGCATCACCCCCGAGCTCCCCCCGGGGTACGGACACCTCCTCCCGCCCGTTCCCCGCACACGGGCCGCGCTCCCCGAGCGGGGCCGGGGCTCCCGGCGCTGCCCCGGCGCTGCTGTTTGCCCGGCGGCGAATCATTAACCGGGGGTCAGGGACCGGCAGCGGCCCCGGGGACAGCGGGAGGATGGAGCCCCCGGGGGGCACCGCGACCCCCGCCCGCGGGGCTGCCCCACGAGCACCAAAGCAGCGCTCAGAGCAGGAGCGGCGCCCCGAGGGAGCGACCCCTGCCCGGTGCCCCCTCTTGCGACACCCCCGGGCCGGCCTTGACCCGCGGCACTCGGAGGGGCTGCGGAGGGCCGGATAAGGGCCGGACACACACCCACAGCTCTGCCCAGCGCGGTGGGGCTGGCAGGAGCCGCCCCCAGGTGCGGGGCAGCGATAACCCCGGCGCTGCGCTGTTTGCAGCCGCTCCCGTGATACACGGGGCACGTGGGGCTCTTATCTTTGTCCCCAGCTCGCTCCTGGGGCACAGCGCCAAAGCTGTGGGGCAGCGTTTGGGGCCCCCAGCGTGTCCCAAATCCCCAGAACCACAGGCAGCGCTGGCGTACGAAGGAAATCTTTATTAAGTCCGAGGTAGCAGCAGTGACAGGGGGCCAGAGGGCAGCCCCCAGGGCCCCCGAGCAGGATGGTGTCCACAGCACTAGGCAATGGAGGCAAAGCTGAACACTGCACAGCCTGCGAGAGGGGCACCCCACGACTCCCCAGCCCTTTGTTCCAGGGCAGGCAAGGACCGACCTCCGTCCTTCCCAAAGAAATCACTGCCAGGGGATCGCTACAAGTGAGAAAGTGGCCCCCAGTAACTGCTTATCTACAGCTACAGCAGATCCAGGGGGGTCACCTGGGGGCACGTGCAGCCCTGGCAGTGCACCCCCACAACGTTAGCGCCAAGACAGTTATATTTTAAAAAAAAATAGATATATATACTTCAGTGACAGCACTATGCGCGGATGGGCGCAGCCGCCACCCCGCAGCCTCGGTGGCTCCTCCGGGGAGGACAGCAGTGGGAAGCAGGAGCAGTGGGAGCCCTGGTGCCCCTCACACCTTCAGGACGGCGAACTTGAAGACGGCCATGATGGCAGCGCTGATGAGGCCGGAGATGGGCACGGTGACGAACCACGCCATGAAGATGTTGCGGAAGAGGCGCCAGTCCACGGCCTTCCTGGAGCGCAGCCAGCCCACCGAGACCACCGAGCCCACCTGCACGAGGAGCCCGGGCTCAGCACCAGAGCAGCCACCCGCACCCCCAAACAGCTCCTTCACCCCTGGCTCCTGCTCCGGCCTCGCAGCACAAGGAGCTGCCAGCCCAGAGGGGTGACAGCACCAGGATCCCGCAGCAGCGGGGTTCCCATGGCCTCTTGGCAGAGCCTAGGGGACCATGAAAGGGGTTTTGTTCTCCTAAGTGCCCCAGGGACCCACCCCGAGGCTGGGCAGCCGCTGCCACTTCACATTTGCATGCAGGCAGCGGAGCTGGGAGCTGACAGTGGCTGCTGGCCCAGAGCGGGGCCCCCGCCCTGCTCAGCCCTCTGGGCACCAAGATTTGGGAACACTGCGCTCGCAGGGAGCCAAAGCCGTGCCCTGCTAGCCCTCCTACCTTGCAGTGGGTTGTGCTGATTGGGAGGCCCACGTTGGAGGCGATGACCACCGTCAGCGCCGACGCCAGCTCAATGCTGAAGCCGCTGCAGGGACAGAGAGCAGATCAGAACAGGGGCACTGGGCACCCCAAAACACCCTGGGCTCAGCTCAAGGCAGCACAGCATGGCTCTCCAGCCCCCCCAGATGAACCCCCCAGGATGCAGAAGGTGTTGGAGGCACTCACACCCCAGCTCCACCACCCACACCCCCAAGAGACAACAGAGAGGGGCTCCTGGAGCAGAAGGCAGCTGTCAGGCTGCATGGAACCTCCCCTCTGCTCCATGGTAGCCCTTACCTGGATGGTGTGATGGGAGTCAGGTCCTTCCCCATGGTCTGGATGACTCTCCTGCCCCAGACCCACAGGCCAATGCAAATGCCTGCACCCCCATAGAGAAGCAGCCAGATGGGAGTTGCCACCTTGGTAGCCACATCGCCCGTCTGATAGACCAGGTAGAGTGCAACCAGGGGCCCAATGGCATTGCTGGAAGAGAAAGAGGACCTGGTCTAGAGGGCCAGAGGCTCTTGGCAAGACAGAACATCCCTGGAAGTGTTCAAGGCCAGGCTGGACGGCACATAGAGCAATCTGGCCAAGAGGAACATGTCCATGGCATGGGGATGGAACAAGATATTCAAGGTCCCTTGCTCCCCAAATTATTTTGTGATTCTGTGAGCACTACCCCCAGCTAGCAGCCTCCCACCAGCTCCACTGACCTGACATCATTGCCACCGTGAGCGAAGGAGCCGAAGCAGGCCGTGAGGATCTGCAAGAACTGGAAGAGCAGGGACACCTCAGGCTTGTCCTGCTCGTGCCACTCCTCCAGGGAGCCGCTGCTGCCCTTGCGCTCCGCGGCGCCCAGCTCTGCCTGGGCTGTGTTCAGGTCCACGTCCGCCGCCGGCTGCGCGTCCGCCACCGCGTTGCAGTAGCTGGTGTAGCTGTCCATGCGGACCCTCTTCTTGGTGTCCACCACAGACCAGCTGAGCTTCTCCCCCTCCTCGGGGTCCCTGGCGCGCAGGGAGTCCAGGGGCATGCCGCAGATGGCCATGGTGTAGGAGGTGTAGCTGTTATTGCGCCGCAGGGGCTTGTCCCCCGAGTCCCCCATGCAGTCCCCCATCTTGGCCAGGTGCAGCTTGTGCAGCAGCTCCTTGTAGAGGCCGGAGTCCTTGTGCACAGTGTGGTACTGGTACTGGCCCCCCGAGCCCAGCTGGTGGCCCACCGCCTGGCTCAGGGGGACCAGGTTGCCGTTGGGCAGCCGCACAGCTCCTGCCGGTGGGGACAGCAGGTGACAGGGTCAGCCCGGGCTGGGGGAGCCTTTACCAGCCCCAATCACCCGCTGCTACTCACCGCTGTCAATGCTGGTTTCCTTCAGGTCGAGGCTGGGAAGCCTCTCCTGCTCTGGGGCCTCCTCCAGCTCGCCCAGGTTGAAGGAGACCATCCTCTCCTCCCCGGCTGCCCGGGGGGGCACGGCTGGCCCTGCATCAGCAGCGGGGCCCTTGGCATCCCCCAAGGGCATCTTGGCCTCCTCCTGCTCCTCCTTTGGGCAAACGTTCTTCTCCATCAAGGGGCTTTCAGAAGGACTTGATTTTATCTCTCCTGCAAAGAGGGGCAGCCCATCAAACCCCTTTCCACCACTGCACCCAATGCCAGCAGCGTGCCCACACCCCTCGCCACTCAGATTTATGGCAGCCAAATAAAATTTACAGCTCCTCCACATCCTGAACTTTGGAAAGTGCTGGACAGTCACACCTTGTCCCGGGCACAACAGCCAAACCATCTAAGCCAGCTCATCCCCTATTTTTAGACACCCCCACCCACACGGGGTGTGGTGAACACCATTATGGGGCTTTTATGTCAGTAATGTCTAGTGCAGAGGTTCCTCTTTGGGCCGTGTTTGTCCCATCCCTGTGGGCAGCGGGATGCTCTGGACCCACTTCTGGAGAGGCTATGACCCCTGAAGCTGACACAGAGGCGCCCAGAGGAGCCCAGCTCCTCTCCCAGCCCAGCAGCTCCAGCCTGGGCTCCTCTCCAGCTTCCACTGGTGGATGACAAACCCAAACAGGAGCTGGTCTCCACCCCCCAAAGGCAGCCTGGTTTCCTGTCCACTCTGGGCAGCCAAACCAGCAGCACCAAGCTGTGGAACCTGAGGCTGTTGCTCCGCCTCTAACAGTAAAAGCATGTTTTCTCCAGGTGAAAACATGAGGTCAGCTCCTTCAGACAACAACCAAAACCACCTTCTTGTCACAAACACGACCATTTCCCTGTCACTTTGTTTGCCTCAAGGGCTGGGTTGTGGCATCAACCCTTCATCCTGGCACCCCAGCAGAACTGTCTCCCCCTGCATGCCCACCTCCTCCCAGGGATGCTGTGGGCAGGCAGGGAGCATGGCTGACAGGCACAAGAGCCCAGCTCACCTCAGCTCACAGGCAGGAGTGAAGTTAAACAGCTGGAGGATTGTCAAGAGCAGCCATAAAGCTGTTAGTCACACCCCAGTTACACCAGCACAGCAAGGACATCCCCTCAGCACCAACTCCCAAGGCCCCAGCTCGCACACATCATTGATATTCTGGACCACATGCAGCTCCAAGCACTGCTCCAGAGGCAGAGCTCCAGGCTGATCCTTTGGATGCCTTTCAATAGAGTGTTTTGGGTGTTTTTGCTACAGGGCAAGGATTTCGTCAGCTTTAAACTTGTGATCTGCATCAGCCAGGCCAAGGATTGCTCAGCAGGTATGAGAAGATTAAAGGTTACAACAGCCACGTTGTCTCTTGCCTTCTCCTCTATTAGAGCAGGACAAGCTGCCTGACTCTGCCCACAGCCTCAGGAGAGATCACCCTGCAGATCAGACAGCCCCAGACCCTGCTGAGCAGCCCAGCAGCTGCTCCTGGGGGGGTTTGGGTGCCTGGCTGGGAGCAGGCAGAGCCCGGCGTGGCGAGTGCCCCGGTGACTCAGGGCAGCTTAATCCCCGAGTGAGGAGGAGGAGGATTCTGCTAATAACAGCTAATGGGATCTCCCACTGGGAAGAGAAGTGGGTTAGCCAGAGCCAGCCCTTCCCCGAGGATGGCAGAGGGACGTGGTACTTACGGTCGATTTTCTTCTTCATCCTGGGACATACAAAGAACCAGACGACGAGAGCACAGACAACAGCACTCCCCGCCGAAATTAGGAGGATACCCCACAGAGGAAGTTTGTCAAAGCCCAGCACTAGGAAATAAAACAACGGATCTTTGAAAACCTCTGGGCAAAACCCTCCTGGATACATGACTTTGGTTTTCCCAGGCACGGGGACTCCATCACCTGCAGCAGCCCTGAGCTAATGCACCTGCCAGGGAGAAACACTGCTGGGAAGGCAGCACTGACCACGCTGAGAGCCCAGCTATGCTCCCAGCCCCACAGGTCACATCCCCATCAGCAGCTGACCCTGCAGGCCCCTTCCCCCAGGCAAACCCTGTGCAGGGTGGTGCGTGCTCCACACAGCTCCTGTCTCCTCATTTGCTGCAATGTCAAAGGAAAAAACACCTCCCAGTGTGGCTGCTGCAGCACCAGTGCTGCTTCCCTGCTCTGGAGAGGACGTGGACACTGGGCTGCTCCCCCTGGGGAGGACAGCTCTTCTGCTCCAGGAGTCAGTGGCAATTCAGGCTTCATGGCATCTGAGGTGATACATGACCCACTTAGGAGCATTCTCACAGGCAGCCTGACTTTGAGCAGAGGACTGGCATCACACAGGCCCAGGTGGGGCATCAGGTGCTTGTGACTGTCCAAACCCAGCATCTGCTGCTGCAGGCTGTGCCTTATTGCTCCTGAGGCAGCCCAGACACCTCAGCCAGACACAGGTCTGCCTGCAAACCCTGTGCTTAAGCAACCCAGAGCTCACTCAGCAGTTCAGGGCTCAGGATAAACACAGCTCCACTTTGGACATGCCGAGTGCCCCCAGCAGCAGCACTGCAGGCCTCTCCTCCTCTCCCCTATGCTGGGAAGGGGAAGCTGACATCCCTCCAAAAAATTTTCCAGGCACTGTTTACAGAGCAAACCCTGCCAGAGCCAGCACTGCCTGCCCGCATCCCACCTCCAGAGGCTCCTCCACAACAGGAAACCCACGCTCACACCAGAAAACAGCTCAGGCCGAGTCATGCCAGCAAACAAGGAGGTGACAGAGCCTCTGGCTCCACAGGCAAACCCACCATCCCTGCTGAGCCCTCTCTCAGCCCTGCTCGTGACCTGTCCCCTGCAACACAGCATCCTAGCTGGGCTTCTCCACCTGAAGCTCAGACTCTGCAGCACACAGGCCAGCTCTTCTGGGCAAGAGCAATTAGGCTGTTTTTAGGGACAGGATGAACCAGGAACTCCTGCTGCTAGCCCCACTGCACTGAAGAGCCTCTTGGGAAGCCAGCAGATACCTGAGTTTTAGCACAGGTAAGAGAAGGGGGAAGGGGGAGCCATGCTATTGGGCAGTGCTGGGAAGTCTAAGGAGAAAGGTCTGGAGGAGTTTAGTTTGAGCAGGTCTCTTTGGATGGGCAACTACCTAGCCCAGACAGTGCAGGCTAGCCGGCCGCCTTCCGTAACCGGCACAGGCCAGCCGCCTTCTAGGAGATCTCAGCCCTGTAAAGCAAAAAAGGGGTAAATCGTGCATTTAATGGAGGCTTTGGAAAGCATTTCAAAGTTCAGGTTGAAGCGTTCTGCTGTGCACTTACAGGGCGCCCCAGTGTACATGATGGAGAAGAGGTTGATGCCCACGGTGCAGGCGTAGAAGACGGGCAGAGCTCGCAGGCCGTTGGGAACAGGATCTGCCTGGAAAAACACACAGCAGGGCTGCACCGAGGCTGGCTGGGGGCTGTGCAGCAGCCAGCAACAGATTCTCTGCACAAGGGGTTTGTGCCCTCAGGCACCTGCAGGTGACAGCTCCCAAAAGCCTTCAGGGATCAGCTCCCTGGGATGGGAGGGCAGGAGGCAGCACAACACCTGGATCCCTCCCACGTGGAACCCCAGCAATCCCAAACCTGGAACAACCCATCTCTATCTGCCTCCTGAACCCCTTCCCTGGCTCCTCAAAGTGCCACCTCCACTTACATTCTTCTTTCAACTCCCCAAGAACTTTCAAAGCTTTTACCCCTTTCCAGCTGACTTGAACGAAATAAGAAGTCCATTAGTCACAAAGGAGCTTATTTGACCACATACCTGGCAGCAAGGCCCTCACGGCAGCAGCAGGGGCGTTTAATCCCCACTGCTGCCCAGCAATTGGGATTTGGCACCAGGACAAGCACACCAAGCCTCCCTGAACGCCAGCATGGAGCACCAAGACAGGGCCAGCCACGCTTTGGGAGGCTGGTTACACAAGGTTACTGTGACAGTGCTGCTGCTGAGCTGTTTTAAAGGCTGCCAGCGATAAGATCTTAACATCTCTTCAATCACTAGAGGTAAAACCCAAAGGAATTTAACCTCAGCTATGCAGGAGAAAATGCTGGAGTTTCTCTGCATAGTTGGGGGTCTCAGGAATGTGGTTTCCCCAGCCTCAGGAACAATTCTGTCTCCTAGTTGAGGAATGCCATGGTTGTGGTAACTACCTTCACCTGCAGCCCACCCCATGGAAAAAAAAAAAAATCCTTACACCAGGATTTTGGAAAAGCCCAGCTGACAGCTCTGCTCTTATCAATTCTGAGCCACTTCATTACTGGGAAACAGGCTGCTCCTGCTGAAGCCAGGCAAGATAACCCCCATGTTCCAGAGGGGAGGTGGTGCCCCAAAACCCTCCAAGCCCACTCTGTGGAGTGGCCACAGGCCCCATTTCCCACATCTTCAGCTCCCAAAGGGCTCCCCTGATGCCAACACTCCAAGATGTGCCAGGAGAAGCCCTGGTGACCACAAGCCAGCCAACAAACCCACTGAGAGCAGCCCAAAGCAGCCAAAAACAGGGGCAGGCAGCCCTTACCTTGCAGAGGATGAACCTCTGGACGAGGAAGAACAGGATAGCAGACATGATGCCCGAGAGAAGGGGTGAGATGAACCAGGACAACACTAGAATGTGAGAGGCACAATCAGCACCCTGCTGCTGGGAAAGGAGGCCCAGGGACACACAGGATCCATGGCTGGCGTGGCCCTGCCGGCTGCACTTACCAATCTTCAGCAACTCAGACCACTTGACACCTTCCTGCCCTTGGGCCACCAGCGAGAAGCCGATGGTGGCCCCGACGATGCAGTGGGTGCCAGAAATGGGGAGCTTCAAGAACGAAGCCATCAGCTGCCACACAGCAGACCCTGGAGGAGAAGCAGCCCGATAAGAAAGCCACCCCCGGGGGCACCGGGGACACGGCGCTGCGACCTCCCCGCTGCTCACCGGACATGGCGCTGATGGAGCCGGCCATCAGCAGCTCCTGCGTGGAGTTGTACATCTCCACGTCGATCAGACCCTTGCGGATGGTCTCGCTGACCTTGGCGCCCAGCAGCACGGAGCCCACGGTCTCGAAGACGCTGGCCAGGATGCAGGCCTGCCGCAGGGTCACCACCCCCGAGCCCACGGCCGTGCCGAACGAGTTGGCCACGTCGTTCGCCCCCACGGAGAAGGCCAGCACGAAGGCAATGATGAAACCCAGCACCAGCATCCAGAGGAAGCCAGCCATGGGGGCGGCGAGCACGGCGGGGGTCGGCTCCATGGCGGGGGGAGGGCGGGGCGAGGCGTTAATAAATTAGGTACAAAATTAAATAAAGGAGTCGCTATAGGGCTCGGGGGGGCGTCCTAGGGGCCCGCGGGTGGCAGGGGCTGGGGGCCGGCCGCCGCGCCATGGTCCGCGCCGCTCCTCATCCTGCGGGAAGGACAGAGCTCGCTCAGCAGGGCGAGCACCGGAACCGGCCCTTCCCGCCGCCGGTAACGGCCGCTCCCGCGCGCCACCGCCCCCTCCCGCCGCCATGCGGGTGCGCGCCCGCCCCTGCTGCTCACCGCCGCGCTGAAGGGGAAGCAGAACCACGTGCGCGCCCGGTGCGCGCCGGGCGGAGCGACGGCACCGGCACCGGAACGGGCACCGGAACGGGCACCGGCACCCGTGCGGCATGGTGCGGCACCGGCACCGGCACCCGTGCGGCATGGTGCGGCACGGTACCGGAACGGGCACCCACACCGGTACCGGTACCCGTGCGGCATGGTGCGGCACCGGCACCGGAACGGGCACCGGTACCCGTACGGCATGGTGCGGCACCGGCACCGGTACCCGTGCGGCATGGTGTGGCACCGGTACCGGCACCGGTACCCGTGCGGCATGGTGCGGCACCGGAACGAGCACCGGTACCGGTACCCGTGCGGCATGGTACGGCACCCGCAGCACATGGCCCGGCCCGGCACCGGCACCGGTACCGGCTCCCGTACCCATACGGCATGGTACAGCACCGGCACCGCATGGCCCGGCCCAACCCGACGCCGGTACCAGCACCCACTCCACGTGGCCCGGCCCAGCCCGGTACCGGCACCGGTATGGCATGGCCCGGCCCGGTCCGGCATCGGCACTGGCACAGCACTGGCACGAGAATGGCACGGCCCAGCCTGGCCCTGGCACAGCCCAGCCCGACATTGGGCTGACTGGTTTGGCATGGGTGTGGGTCTGGCCCACATGTGGCACAGCTGTGTGACCAGCGTGACCAGCCTGTGCCAGGCACAGCAACAGGCGGGCACGGAGCTGCTGGCACTGGGCTGGCACTCCAGCGAGGCTCAGTGCCTCTCCAGCTCTGAACTGGCCTGGGGCCTGCCCTGGGTGAGACCAGCACCAGCCCCAGCAGGGGCCACACGTGGGCACTGGCACTGAACCAGCTCCCACCAGGACCACCCACAGCCGAGTGGTGGCAGCTCAGGGGGTCCTGCAGGGTCCCAGGAGGTGCCCAGGAGGTCCTGCAGGGTCCCCCCAGCCGGGTGGCACAGGCAGGGCTGAGCCGTGTCTGTGCACACGCAGCCCCACACGTGTGCCCCGAGCAGGGGGAGCCCAGCGCCCGCTGCCACCCCGGGGTGATCATTGCCCAGCAGGAAGCACGGCCCGGTGGGCAGCCTGACGGGCAGCTGGGCTGCGTGGCAGGGCCGGTGCCACCGCACGGGTCAGCGGCTGGGGCCGGCCGGGCAGCGCCATCCCTGGGGACAGCGGTGACGAGGGGCTGCAGGTGGCTGCGGGTCCAGGGGGAAGTGGCCAGGGTGCCCCAGCCCTGCTGCATGGCTGCCCCTGCGTCACCGGGCAGAGTCCGTCCTGTGTCCCCACGGGCCCTGTGTCCGGGCCACGTGCAGCCCTGGGTGCACAGAGCCTGGCAGGGTAGAGAGGGACCTGGGGCCTGGGCACCCCTCGCCACTCTCAGCTCACCAAAGGGGTGCCCTCACCTTTCCCCTGTGCCCACCCCACATTCCTGTAACCTCTGGGTGTCCCCCCACCTTTCCCCTGTGCCCTGTAACCTCTGGGTGTCCCCCACCTTTCCCCTGTGCCCACTCCACGTTCCTGTAACCTCTGGGTGTCCCCCCACCTTTTCCCTGTGCCCTGTAACCTCTGGGTGTCCCCCCACCTTTCCCCTGTGCCCACCCCACGTTCCTGTAACCTCTGGGTGTCCCCATCTGCCCTAGCTGGGCAGGAAACTGTGCCAGGAGTGCCTGGAGGAAGCTGGTAGGATCCATGTTCTGGGCGCCCAGACCCCATAACCCTGTCCCCCCAAAGCTGAGAAGGGATCCAGGTGTGCCCGCACCCCTGCGGGTCTGGGGAGCAGCACTGGGCACACAGGGCAGCCCCAGGCACATGGGGCAGGGCACAGAGTGTGCAGGTGGAAGGAAAGGTGAAACCCCTGAGCTTTGAGGGGTACAGAGCCTTGATCACAGAGCTGAATAGAGGTGTGAGGATGTGCTGGGAAGGAGCAGGCTGGGCGGCTCCAGGACCATCCCCCGAGGGTTCCCAGCCCTGGGAGGGGATCCTCAGACCTTTGTCAGCTCCATTCACACCGTGAGCCCCACCCCCGAGCACCGGGACTGCGACAATGGAGGCAATTAAGGCAGTGAGGCAGCGCCCTGGGAACTGCTGGGAAACGCCCTGGGAAACCCTCCAGCCTGTGGCCATCTCACCTACAGGGCCAGGGGCTACATCCCCCCGCCCCAGTGACACCAGTAAGTCTGAAACGCCTGCGCTGGGAGCCTTTGATGGATGCTGAGTGTGCCCTGAAATCCACGTGCCTGGCATCGCCACTGCCAGTCCTGGTGCTGGCTTTGACCTGCATGTGCCCTGGTGTTCACCAGCATCACTGGGCATCCCAACACTCATTGGCACCTCTTAAATGCCACCAGCAGTCTCCAAAACCCCCAGCACTGCAGCTGCTGGCATCCCTGCCTACCTGGGCTCCACTCCTGACTGATCCTCTTACTTCATCTTGTCCCACTCGGTTGTTAATTGGTAATAAATTAATTTTCCTGAGTCAAGTGTTTTGCCCATGACTTAACTGTTGAATGATCTCTCTCTCCTCACCTCACCCTGATAGTTGTTCCGCTGCTCTCACCCCTGCCACATGTCCCCTCCCTGTGTCACCAGCTGGGCACTGTGAGTGTGGTTGTGTTCCAGGAGAGCCCACACGAACAGGAAAGCAGGTTCAGAATAAATGCATGAACCACAGAGTGTTAATATATCATGACAAAAGGTCTAGAACAGAGTAGATATAAAATATTCCCGGGTCTATGAGTTTCTGGAGGTTGGGAGGCACTCAGTGCACCAAGGGAACTCCCAAAGGCCTTGCAAGTCCCCACTCTCTGGACCCTCTCTCTCCTCTCAGCTTTGCTAACACTCTGGAGTGGCCTTAATCCAGTTCTCACCGTGTCTGCCTTTGCTCCTTGTTCCTGGGGATTCTTCCAATGTGCTCACAATTTCTCTTGTGCTCTGGTCAGGGATGATCTGGCAAACACAGTGCCAGGGGCTCAGCTGGCAGGCAGAGCTCCACAGGGCACACCTGCACAGGCAGCCCACCTTTTCCTGGTGTTCCAGTAAGCTGGGATGGAAAAAGCCATGCAGGTCAGCCCCAGCTCACCCATCCAGCTCCTTCCCTTGCCAGGCATTTCTCCAGGAGATGGTGCCCAAGCATATGGAACAATCTCACCTGCAGGGGAGACCCCCTCCACTCACTGCCTGCTGGTGGATCACTGGCAAAGGTATTAGTGAAAACAAACTCGAATCACATTGTGGATGAGGTTAAAAGCGACAACAGTGGGATCATCTGGTCCCACCTCCCTCCTCAAGCGAGGCCATCCAGAGCACATTGCACAGAATTGGGATATCACAAGTGGGTGAGGCTCCACAGCCTGGGCAGTCTGTCCCAGTGCGTGGTCACTTGCATAGAGTTCATCCTCATGTTCAGGTGGAATTAATATGAATTTGCAAAAACACAACAAAGGGTCATGTCCGGGGTCACTGCGTTGCTTACAGCATGGATAACACATACAGTGAAAATCAAATTAGAATCAGTGGCATCGTGGGGCTCCCCACAGCCCCTCAGCACCCAGGGGACCCCCAGGCCCTGCAGTGGCACCCATGTGAGTTTGCTGCCAGTACAACACAACTGATTGTGCTGCTGCTCTTTATTTATAAATATAAATATTCTGCAAACATTTTGCTGGCCCTCTGAGCTGGCTCAGGCAGCTGCAAGGCGCCGGTGGACAGAGGAAGCTGCTGAGGCGTGGCTGGGGGGGGTGTGAGGGTGTGGAGCAGCCTGGGCACCCCAGGGACCATGGGCACCCCCTGTGGGCACAGAGAGAGCTCTGGGCAGAGCACGGAGCGCCAGCCCACAGCACCAGTGTCCACAGTGACTTACTGGGCACTCAGAGCTCCAAACACCTCGTGCCACCCCCAGCTGCCTCGGCAGCTGCCCTCCGCCCCACCAGCTCACTTCTTCCTCTTCCTCCAAAAATGGAACGCACAACACAGCACCATTCCCAGCAGTATCGAGCCGAGGATGGCCAAAATGCCTTCGATGCAGTACGTCTTGAAGGAACTGCCCTCCGCAGCGTTGGTGTCTGCCCTGCCCAGCACGGCGCCGGGCTCTGCCCCGCCGCCCGCCGCGCCCGGCTCTGCCCCGCTGCTCCCGGCGGATCTCCTGCTGACAGCGCTGCTCAGGCTCAGGCTCCTCACACCTGCAGGAGCAACTGTGCACCTCAGCGTGTCCTGCACGCCTCTGGCCGTCTCACCAGAGGGCTGACATCGCCAAAAAATGTTCTTTCCCACTTCTCTAGCAGCTCTGAACAAGGGAAGGTTTCCACGGCTTCAGCAGAAACCAAGGGAACTCCCAAAGGCCTTGCAAGTCCCCACTCTCTGGACCCTCTCTCTCCTCTCAGCTTTGCTAACACTCTGGAGTGGCCTTAATCCAGTTCTCACCGTGTCTGCCTTTGCTCCTTGTTCCTGGGGATTCTTCCAATGTGCTCACAATTTCCCTTGTGCTCTGGTCAGGGATGATGTGACCGGGGCAAGCTCAGTCCCAGGGACTCAGCTGGCAGTCCAGACTCCTTGCAGCTCACCAGTACCCCATGGAGGGTCCCTCAGTGAGGGTCTGAGTGTGGGTGGGGGGTCCGCATGCACCTGAAACCTCGGCTGCCCTGTTGTGCTGGTCAGGAGTGAGCTGTACCCACCTCCTAGAATCATCTTCAGCTCCCCCAGGATTTCATGCAGCACTTTGGACGTCTCCACGGAAGATTGGCCCCCTCCATCTTGATAGTCTGGACCTTAATGCAAAGAACAAAGTTGCATTTTGCCCCCAGCAAACCTGGGAGCAGCCCTCAGGCTGTGCAGTCGGGCTGATGAAGTGCCAGGGGAGCTCCAGTGCAGGGTCCAGCTGAGAAGACAGGAAAGCCCTGCAGGGACACGAAATCCAGAGCCACATTTCCCATCGTTTGCTGCGGGGCGTCCAGGTGGCCTCACTCCCAAAAGAGCAAAGTTCTGAAATCCCTGAGAACGGAGTGTGAGAGGTGGAGAGCACCTTGCTGCACCCACAGAGCGTCCGAGCCTGTGTCCCCGGGACAGTGACAGCCACGGCCTGAGGTGACAGTGACAGCCACGGCCCCAGGTGACAGTGACAGCCATGGCCTGCAGCCTGAGGTGACAGTGACAGCCACAGCCCGAGGATGTCGAGTGACAGCCACGGCCCGAGGTGACAGTGACAGCCAGGGCCCCAGGTGACAGTGACAGCCACGGCCCCAGGTGACAGTGACAGTCCCCCAGAGCCACCCTGGCAGCGTGGCACGGCGCAGGGCCGGCAGCAGCGGGGCCGAAGGGCCAAAGGACGGTGCTCACCCACACACCTGCGGGGCTGAAGGCCCTGGAGCTCTCCCCGGGGCCTGGCACCGCCTCACGGCCTTCCTGAGGAGCCTCCTCCTCCTCCTCCTCCTGCACGGCCTGGCGCTCCCAAGCTGCAGAGACAGAGAGACAGAGAGAGAGACAGAGAGAGCGCGGCCTGGCGCTCCCAAGCTGCAGAGACAGAGAGAGACAGACAGACAGAGACAGAGAGAGTGAGAGACAGACAGAGACAGACAGAGAGAGAGACAGAAGACAGACAGAAACACCGAGACAGAGACACAAAGACACAGAGAGTCAGGGGAATCCTGTGCCACTGCTGCCCGCGGGGTTCCACAGAGCAGCTGTGGCCTGAGGCAGAGTCAGGGGAACGCCGAGCCACTGGCAGAGCAGCCGTGGCCGGGCAGTGCCAGGGCAATCCTGTGCCACGGCTGCCCGTGGGGCTCTGCAGACCCAGCTGCCACCCACCCTGCGAGTGCCACGGGGCAGCCGCAGCGTGCCGGGCGGGCAGGGCCAGCAGGAGCAGGGTGAGAGGCAGCGCCCAGCGTGCAGGGCCCATGCTGCAGCTGCTGCTGCATCTGCTGCTGCAGCCCTGCAGCCCTGGCTCTGCAGCTGCACAGGGCCTTTGTGACCTCACGGGGCTTCCACCAGCACATTCTGCCGTCTCCACGGCGGGCACAAATCCTCCCAGGCACAGCCACCAGGCTCAGGATTGCCCAGCACAGACAGGGTTTAGGAAAATCTGCAGACGCAGCTGCCACCCACCCTGCGAGTGCCACGGGGCAGCCGCAGCGTGCCGGGCGGGCAGGGCCAGCAGGAGCAGGGTGAGAGGCAGCGCCCAGCGTGCCTGGCCCATGCTGCAGCTGCTGCTGCATGTGCTGCTGCTGCCACCGAGCTGCACTGCAGCTGCACAGGGCCTTTGTGACCTCACGGGGCTTCCACCAGCACATTCTGCCGTCTCCACGGCGGGCACAAATCCTCCCAGGCACAGCCACCAGGCTCAGGAGGGCCAGGATCAGTGCTTTGAGAATTACAGGGGCTCAGGGGGGAGGTGGAGACGCTTTCAGCAGGGGAATGGTCTCAAAGTGGAAGTTTGAAGTACACGCAAATGGAAATATGAGTTGTTGGGGGAAGCCCAAAGCCCTGGTGCCCCACAGCTGCCATGCAAAAGGACTGGCAGCTGGCACGTGAGGCTGCTCGCTCACTTTGGCACTCGTGGAGTGAGGAAAGGAAAGGAAACAGAACTGGTGAGCTGAGATTAACACGGTTTAATAATTGAAATACAGTTAAAAAAAAACACCAACCAACCAAAAAAAACCAAAACAAAAAAACCACCAAAAAACAAAAAAACAAACAAACAAAAAAACCCAAAAAACAAAAAACAAACAAAAAAAAACCAACAAAAACCACCAAAAACAAAACAAAAAAAAACCCAAAAAAAATCCCTCAAAAACAAACAAAAACCCCCACAAAAAATCCCCAAAAACCCCCACAAAAAACAAAAAAAAACCCCCCAAAACACCATAAAAAGAACAACAAAACCACAAAGAAACAAAAAAACCCCCCAAAACCAAAAAAATCCAAAAAAAACCAAATACCAAAAAAACCACCCAAAACCAACCAAACAAAAAAAACCCCCCAAAAAATCCAAAACAAAACAAACCCCCATTAGTAATAACCAATAATAATAACCGATAAATAACAATAATTTAATAATAATCAAATTATTATATAATGGTGTATTAATTATATATAATATAGTTAATGTATTATAATGTATGTTATTATATATAATAATATCTATTATGTATATAATATATAATCGATATATATAATATATATAATAATTATTATTATAATGATTATAATAATAAGGACTTGGTGAGAGGCAGAGAACACAAAGAAAACAAGTGCTGCACCTTAGAAGGCTGGTTTATTACCTTATGATCTATATTATATTAAAATACTACATAAAAACTGTACTAAAAGAACAGAGAGAAAAGAAAGAACAAGAATAGAATGCACAACAAAATCTCGTGACCCTCAGAGTCCGATGCAGCTGCATCTGTGGTTGGCTCTTAGTTAGAAACAACCAACATGCACCAATCCCAGCTGCACCTGTTGCATTCCACAGCAGCAGGCAGTTCTTGTTTGCATTTCCTTCCTGAGGAGGGAAAAATCCTAGCAGAGGGTTTTTCATAAAGTATCACAGCTGCTCCTTCAGCCCCCACCTTGGGCTGCCCTCTGCTAAACTTATAAACAACCCGAAATTTATCTGCGGGGTTGTGAACGCAGCGCAGAGCCGGGTGTGCCGCTACAGACATTAACGCGCTCACGAACAGGATCTGCGCCTGGAAAACAATGACTGAGTGATGAATATTTATTTTTTATCACTGAAAATAAACCCCCGGGCTCTGGGAACCACCAGCTCAGGGCTCACCGGGCCACAGAGCGGGGCCGGCAGCTCCCGCCCGCCCCGCTTCCGCTTCCGCCCCCGCTTCCGGTTCCGCTTCCGCCTCCGGTGCCGCGCCCGCCCCGGCCCCGCCCCCGAGCGGCGGCGGCGCGGCTCGGGCGGAGCGGGAATGGCGAGGGGAGGGGGAGGCCGGGGCGCGGGGGGCACCGAGAGTCCGGGCAGTGGCGCACCGGGGGCACCGAGGGCACCGGGGGCACCGGGGAGGCTCAGCGGGCGGGACCGGCCTCCCGGGCGGGCGGAATGGAAGTGCGCGGGGCGTGTTCCGGGCGGACCGGAAGTGCGGCCGAACCCGTTGCCGTGACAGCGGGGCCCGGGGCCGCCATGGAGGCCGCGCTCACCGACATGTACGACCAGGCGCTGCTGGGCATCCTGCAGCACGTCGGCAACGTGGAGGAGTTCCTGCGCGTCCTCTTCGGCTTCCTCTACCGCAAGACCGACTTCTACCGGCTCCTCCTGCGGCCCGGCGACCGCCTGGGCTTCCCGCCCGGCGCGGCGCAGGCCATGGCGCTGCAGGTACCGGCGCGGCCCGGCCTGGCCGGCGCTGCCGGGAGGAGCGCGGAGGAGGCAGGGCAGGCTCCTCGGAGCGGGGGAAAGATGAGGGGCAGCGGAGGCGGGCGAGCCCCGCGGGGGAAGAGCCGGGCTGCCATACCAGCTCGGAGCCTGGCCGAGCTCCGGTTCCTGCCCGCGGTCCCCTCGGGAGCTTCGGGGTGGGCACAGCGAGCGAGGGGCCGCGTTCCCGCCGTGGGAGGGAGTCAGGGCGGCCTCGTGGCGGCGGCCGGAGGCACCCAGAGGGTGGGAGGGGTTTGTCCCTCCTCATCCTCGCCGAGCTGCCTCTCTGAGGTGCTGCTCAGCCCTGCCACAGCCTCCTGCCTGGGGAGGACGGGGGCTGAGCGTGTTCTGTCCTGTGGTGGCGGTGCTGGCAGGAGCCCTCCCTGGGCCGTGTCCTTTGTCCTGCACTTCCAGGACCCAGAGCAAGGCTCAGATGGAGCAGCTGTGCCAGCCCACTGCTGGAAGCACTCAATCTGCCCCCAAAAGGAGGGCTGTGTTGGATGCCTGCACGCTTCTGGAGCGTGTTCCCAGCCTGGCAGTGGGGTGGGAGGGCTGGCAGCCCCTCGGGGAAGCAGGGCCAGGCTGTGAGTGGCCATCACCCCTCGCTGCAGCTGCGGGCCCCAGTCTGAGCTGCAGGCTTGGCTGCAGGCCGGGCGAGGGGTAGGATTGCATCTCCTGGGATCACTCCTCCTGCACCTGTCTGTTTGGGCACGGCCAGTGCCAGCTGAGCTGTGCTGCAGCTCCTCCTGGGGCAGCTCACCCTGCTTGCCTGCTGGAGACTCTGAGTCCAGCTCGCAGGTGGTGCCTGGGTCCATCTGAGGAGCTGCACAAGGTCCCTGAGCCCTGCAGCGTGGGGTGAGGAGGGGCTTTCTTGGAGCCCCCTCCCAGCCAAGAGCTGAACCTCACCCCTCTGCTTTTCCCTGGGGTAACCAGCCCTGTTCCCAGGCTGGCTCTGAGAGCACAATCCTAAAACAATCCCAAAACGCCCCCAGGGGTTTCCGAGGCAGTGCAGTGGGTTTGTCAGAGCCACCAGCTGTTTGTGTGGTGACTGCAGCACCTCGGGGCAGCTGCGAGGCGCAGGCAGGAAGGAGCAGGTGCCCGGGGGGTGGTGCTGCTGCCCTGCTGGCGTGGCAGAGCCGGGGTGAGCTGGCTGCTCCCTCCCTGGCAGGCGTTCCGCGCGTTCGAGCGCATGGCCCGGCAGGACGACGAGAAGCGGCGCCGCGAGCTGGAGGCCAGGCTGAGGAAGAAGGAGGAGGAGGAGGAGGCAGCCGCAGCCGCCGAGAGGGTGAAGCTGTGTCCTGCAGCCCAGGAGATCGAGGTGGAGACGTCAGAGCACATCCCAGCTGCAGGTGCTGGGGAAGCTGAAGGCACACAGGAATCAGCTGCAGCCCAGGGAGCTGCAGCCCCCAGCCCCGAGGCACTGGAGCCTCCAGGGGCTGCTGCCCCCGCTGAGCTGCCCACGTAAGGGTCTCTCATTTTCTTCATGATCCTCATGGGGGGAGGTAAAGCCGTGGGCAGGGGGTCCACTGTTCCCTGCACAGCTCTTTTGGGGTTTTGGCCTTGCTCTGCAGGCACTCAGCCCGTCAGGGGCCTGTGAGGATGTCCCTTGCAGGCTCCCAAGGCTGCAGGCATTGTGTGACTCCCCAGAAGGGCAGCAGTTGTTGTCCTGTGGGTGGTTCAGGGTTTCCCCACTCTGCTCTGAGCAGGGGAGGTGGCATATCCTGTACACGGCCCAACAAAGCTGGGCTGGGCCGTGCAGCTCCTCCACAAACTGGTTATGGTGTGCACTGTCCCTTTGCTGGCACCTGCTAAGGCTCACGAGGAAGTCCTGTCACCAGCCTGCAACCTTTTTGTTAGGGCTGGACTCCCTGGTGTGCTGGGAGACATCCCAGAAGCTGTGTGGGAGTGTGCACAGGTACCTGTAACACCTGGGAGCATGCACAGGTACCTGCAACACGTGTGAGTTGGTGCTGGGAGTGTGCAGAGGTAGCTGAAATACCTGGGAGTGTGCACAGGTACCTGCAACACCTGGGAGTTGGTGCTGGCAGTGTGCAGAGGTAGCTGAAATACCTGGGAGTGTGCAGAGGTACCTGCAACACCTGCAGGTTGGTGCTGGGAGTGTGCACCTTCAGTACCTGGGAGTTGGTGCTGGCAGAACTGCCCGTGTGACAGGGGGCTGCAGCAGCAAAGGGGTTTGGAGCCCTCTGGAGGTCTCTGGCCCAGCCCTTGGCTCAGAGCAGGGCCAGCTTTGAAGATCAAGCAAATGCTGCAGAGTTTTCTCTTTGGCTGGGCTTGGTGGCTTTCCAGCAGTGCCAAGCAGCCTCCGTTTGTGCAGAAATGTCTTTGTGTCAAAGTCCTTCCACAGCTCCCGGGGCACTTCCAGTCAGATGGGAGCTGTGGAGGGCCAGCATGGCCTCTCTGAACTAGGTACCTGAATGCAGCTCCTGGACAGGCTTCACTCATCCTTCCCTGGCATCACCTTGACCTGAGCCAGGTCAGAGCTGCCCAGCCCTCGCTCAGGGCCCTGATGCCTCACTGAGGCTCAGACTCCTGTGTTTCTTTGCTGACCAGGCTGGGGGAGCAGTGCTGTGAGCTGGCTGTGCAGATCCCATCTCCTGCTCCCCTCCCGGGTGTGTTCTGTGGTCAGAGCCTTGTGGTGGCTGTGCTGACCCTCTCTGATCACCACCACGGTCCTGACCATGTGTGGGGCTTTGCTGTGCCTCGTCCTGCTGTCCCACTGGTGCTTGGTGAGGAGGGAAGCTTGGGCTGGTGATCCCTCCTCCCAGCCAGTTCTGGACATGGCATTGGGAAGAGCAAGCTGCCAAAAAGAAGTGGACCACTGGAAAAACCCCAAATCCTGTAAGGACTGGGATGGCTGATGCCCCTGAGGGGATGGGGAATTCAGAGCTCAGACTTTGGGGCATATTGCATATTCCAAGGACAGTCAGGGGAACAAAATCTTGGCAACAGTGGAGTGATAAGTGGCAGGAGAGGTTTGGTTCTTCCCCCAGGAGATGGTTGGGCACTCAAACAGGTTCCATGGTCACGGCTTCAAGGCTGCCAGAGCTCAAGGAGCATTTGGACAATGCTCTCGGGCAAATGGTGGCATTCTTGTTGTCCTGTGCAAGGGCAGGAGCTGGAATTGATGATCCTCGTGGGTGCCTTCCAGCTCAGGGTATTCCATGATTCCATTATTCTAGGACAGTGGTGGAGTCAGGGTCTGCAGCCTTGGCTGGGGGCCGTGTTGGAGAAGAGCCTGAGCTCTGTGCTGGGGAAGAGCCTTGGAGTGGCCACCATTGGGGGAGGGTGAAAGGGGACCAGCAAGGTGCCTGGGGACTCACACGGCCCAGTGAGAGGAGGAGGAGAAAGGACTTGTGTGTAACTGGTGTGTATCCCATGGGATAAAGACAAGCCAGAAGGCAAAAATGAAATCATCTGCAATGCGTGTGCTGGAGCTCCCTTGGCAAAGGTGGATTGTCCCTGGGGCTGCCAGTCTGACCCCGATCCCTGGGCAAAATTAGCAAGTCAAAAAAAGCCCTGCCAGAGTGCACAGAGAGGCCTGGGTGTGTCCAGCCCAGTTTTCTCCCAGTGGAGAAGAGAGGGAGAGGTTGGAGCCCCAGTGAAGCCGTGGGCAGAGGGAGCTGGGCTGGGCTGAGTGCCAGCTGCTCGTGTCCCTGTGCAGGACACTTTGCTGTGGTTTGCCCCGAGGGGTTTCACCTCAGGACTTTGCTTGTGGGGCAGCAGCTGGTGTGAGGAGAGTTCAGCTGCCTGAAAGAAATGTCAGGGCTGCAGGAAGGAAACTGGAGGGAGCAGGAAGGAAGGTGGGGGCTCGTGTGAGAGCAGGATTGGTCTGACAGTGAGCATGGTGGAGCCAAGAGGGATGGTTTCTGCTGTGTCTGCTGAGAGCCTGGTTAAAACTCAACCCTTGCATGCGCCACCCTCTGAGTGTGTCCTGGCACTGCTGCAGCTTGGCCCCTGTCAGCCCTCAGACACCCAGGTGCTGTTTCACAGCCTGCAGCCGTGGCATTGAGCACCACGCCATGCGTGGCAGCTCTCCCCTGGGTGCTGCCACGAACAGAAGGTGCCTTCTGCTGCACAGAGCTGCCACTGCAACTTCTGCCCTCCCCAATGGGCTCTTCTCCCTCTTTTACTGCTCCCACCACCCCACACTCGCTGCTGGGGTGGAACAGCCCCCAGTGCCTGCCCAGTTCAGACTGGTGGTGGGTGAGGCCAGGTGCAGCAGGCCCCGTCCCAGTGGCAGCAGGCTGGTGCTTTCCAGGCCAGGAGAGTGGGGTGTCTGCAGGCTTGAAGTAGGGCAGAGGAGCCCGCGGGTCTGTCAGGGTGCTGTAGTTGGTTTTGATGCCTCTGGGGGGCACTGGAGCCCCCGGAAAGGCAGTGGGGGCCGGGCGGGCACCCCCCGACAGACTATTAATAATTTAACCAACTGCTTAATTCTCCACAGCCCCTTCCTTCT